TGAATTTTGTGTATCCTTGCCCCCCTAATTACTATGTGTACTTACACTGATTCTGTGCTCATTAATGAGCTCATTCTAAATGACATCACTTCCTGCCTGTCTGGAAACAGAAAGGGGGCGTGGCCTCAGGGTTCAAGCACATGGTGACCAATAATGTTGATGTTAAGCGACTGCTGCATGTCAGAGGTCGGCGCGCTGTCAGGGCGACGGAGGTTCCTGTCAGCTGGGACAGCTTCAACCAGTCAGATAGCTTCATTCTGGACCTGGGACAGGTGAGGCAGGGGCGGGACAGGTGAGAGAGGGTGGTACAGCCGTAAACCTGTTTTTCTCTACAGGAAATTATTCAGTGGTCTGGTTCCCACAGCAACCACTTTGAGAAGCTGAAGGCAACCATGGTGAGTACTGACATCACCTAATTACATCATCATTTTATGACGTCACAAAGCAGAATACCCGATTAATTAAATCTTCGACAGATGTCTAAGGGTATCCGTGACAATGAGAGGTGCGGGCGGGCTGAGCTCCAGGTCTGCGATGAAGGGGCGGAGCCAGAGAAGATGGTAGAGGTATGCAAATCGTGTGTAGTGATTTCATCACAGACTCCTTTACAGAAACGCACCACAGCTCAGTTCCTCTGGCGTCCAGCAGAAGCAGCAGTGAGGCACATCTACAGCCTGATGCAGAAACTGTTCTGCTGTTTAAGCTGCAGTGCATGATGGGACGTTCAGCTGACCTTTCACTGCTCTCTGTTGTGTTCAGGCTCTCGGGGAGAAGCCGGGGCTTTCCGAGTCTCAGGCTGACGACACCGAGACGGATGCCTCCAACAGGAAAGCGGCTTGTCTCTACAAGGTAACAAACTCTGGTGTTTCTCACCTGGATCGTCATCCAATCAGCTCTCCGTGGCTGCCCGTGATGTCTGAAGATTTACACGTGACTCGTCTCAGGTGTCGAATGCAGGCGGCGACCTGGAGGTCACCGTGGTGGCCGAGGAGAGCCCGTTCTCCCAGAATGCTTTGGTGTCCAGCGAGTGTTTCATTCTTGACAACGGAGCCAACGGACACATCTTCATCTGGAAAGGTGAGCACAACAGGTGTGACACCAGCAAGACCCACTGACAGGCCGGGAACTGGTCACGGAGAGGGAGCGCTCGTTTTTCCACCTGTGAATAAACTGAATGTCCGGAGGTCGCCTGAATGTAACACCTGCTGGTCCAAATTAACTGCGTGCGTGTGTGCAGGTAAAGATGCAAACTCGGAGGAGCGTCACGCTGTCCTGAACACCGCGGAGTCGTTCATCTCAAAGATGAACTACCCCAGCTTCACACGGGTAGACACACACACACAGTCTCACCTGAGATGAGCGGCATCAGGAAACAGCTGATCCGATTTTCCTGTCCTACCTGTGTTCCCCCCCAGGTCCAGGTCTTTCCCGAGCACGGGGAGGGGCCGCTCTTCAAACAGTTCTTTAAGGACTGGAGGGACCCCAGTGACACGGTCGGCATGGGAACCGCCTACGTGTCCAATAAGATTGCAAAGATGGAAAAGGTAAGCCAATCAGCTTCCAGGACTAAACTGTGCCGAGCCAGAGCAAAGCTGACTCCTGTGATTGGACAGGTGTCGTTTGATGCATCTACGCTCCACCAATCAGAAGGCATGGCGGCGCAGTATGGCATGGTCGACTGCGGGGACGGAGAAAAACAGGTGAGAACACCTGACTGTCGGCAGCTCAGGTACACGTCACCTGACAAGCATGATGTTACTCAGGGCTGAAAACCAGCCCTGAGTAACATCTGCAGGTTTCAGCTCAACGAGAAGCTGAGAGGCTCCTGACCGACGAAACCCGGGCAGCTGCAGCGTGTGACTGACCTCAACGTAAGGCTGGCTCACCTGCAGCTGACTGACCCACCTGTCACCTGTGTGTGCAGGCACACATCGCTGCTGCAGAAGAAAGGACTCTCAGAAAATCTACCGCGTCATAGCGCCTTTCTGACTCTTCACTCTGTTTGTATTTACTCGAGCGGATCCCGGGAGAAGCAAAGACCACCTCGTAAAGCATAACATGTGATGTCGCAGAGCTCTGTGTGCTGAGCAGTGATGCATAAGCAGGCAGGTGCTCGTTCTCTGTGGACGCTGAACAAGCAGAAACCTGTAACGTGCCCGAAAGGCTGGTTCTGCTCAGCTGCACGTTTTCAGTGGGAGAAAATCATCATCATCATCATCATCCTCATCCTCCTTCAGTGTCAGCTGACTGCAGGTTTCAACATTATAAACAGGACATCTGCACAATGGTGAGGTCAGTTTATGATCATTAATATGCAGACTGTCATGACCACTGATCAGACTGTTTAAGGTAGAAACCTGCAGTCAGCTGAGACTGAAGGAGTCACACGATGACGGTGAAACGTCTCTCGCACTGAAAACGTCCAGATGAGCAGAACCAACCTGTTTCCTGGATGACTGAGCGCCATCAACAGGGTTTGAAGTACAGTACAAAGTAACTGTCGCCTCCCTAACAGCCACATTATGACAGAACTAGCACTAATATCACTGAAGAACAAACGTGTCAGGCTGTAAACATGCAGCACTGAGTCAAAGCGATGATCGCCAGCAGCTCCCATCATTGGTTGTTTCATTCGTTTAAATACCCTCCACCCAATCTGTGCACTGAAAGGTGAAGCTGTCCACACACGGTTGTGCCTCTTCTGCTGGTTTCCCCTCACACTGGTCGACCTTCAGATTGTGTCACAGGTTTTCTTTCAAGCTGGAAAGAAATGATCCAAAGTCTATTTCACATAGTCAGACCTCATTTGCATATTTCAAATGTCATAAAACCTCAAAGATGACGAAGATTGCAGACGATGCGTTCACCTGTAGTGTCTCCTGTTTCGTAACTGAGAGGTCTGTGAAAATATGGCACTCGTGACGTTCACACAGCTTCACAGCGAAGTGCCTCGAGGGCACTATTTGGGGAAACTGACCCGAATGGAAATGTGGCCGTTTTTCTTCCTCCAGTCGTACTCGACTAACCGAGCTGAAAGCTTGAACGCCACATCATCCCTCCTCTCTGATGGAAAACCGTCTCCATTGGTGCCAGGAGAGTTAGCTGTGTCCACAGCTGTGCTGATAAAACATTTGCATGTAAGTCAGACACACTAGCTTATCACCCGGCTGCACTCATTAGTCTACAAACTCAAACACACAGTGGGCCAAAGTTCAAAACTGGAACAAAGTCGGGCTAACGTTAATATTTACTGAAATATTTATTCCTCCAGATATAAGAATCAATCTTTCCTTATGGACTCGTTTTGCTGAAAAACTGAATATGGAACAAGCAAAGCTTAATTATATATATTAGCTGTATAATACCAGCAGGCCAGCTCTAATAATAGTTTGGTGTGGCTTCGCGGGCCAAATGTAATTAGGCTGCGGGCCAGAGTTTGACACCTTCGGTCTACACAGAAAGCTCAGGAGCTTCCTGTCACTGAGCAGGACGAAGCCAAAACATGAGAGTTCGTCACACGCAGCAAAGACACCAGCCTTGGTCACACGAAGCACTCTGATTGGATCATTTTGAATGCTCATGTGTAACAGGTAGGTTACACACGCCTCTGTTTGGATTGGACGTTTCTCAGGATCTTGATACAAACATGCAAGTCAGTGACGTCACTTACACGAGGTGATTTTTAATTGTTTTCCAGCTTTTGGGTTTTTGATCTCAAAAAGTAATCTCTCTTTGAAAGCTGTGGCGTCCGTGGTCGCAGAGCCGCCTTACAAACACGTCCGTCTCTGTCCGTAGATTTGGAGGGTCGAAGGCTCGGAGAAGGTTCCCGTGGACTCGGCGTCCTACGGTCAGTTCTATGGAGGAGACAGTTACATCATCCTGTATCGCTACCAGCACAGCGACCGACGCGGGCAGATCATCTACATGTGGTGAGGCGCTGCATGCGTGCTCTCCACAGCAGGGAGCCATCCAGTGCTGGAAACCTGCTTCTAATTTAATGTTTTTACTCCCTCTGTAGGCAGGGGGCGGAGTCTACCCAGGACGAGGTTGCGGCATCGGCCTTCTTGGCTGTTGAGGTGGACGATGAGCTGGGAGGAAGTGCTGTCCAGGTAAACCAGCTGGGAACGCCGAGCCCAACCCTCTGAGCAGGAAAGGCTCTTACTGTTACCTGTGTGCAGGTGCGGGTCATTCAAGGAAAAGAGCCCGCCCACCTCATGAGTCTGTTTGGCGACAAACCACTGGTGGTGTACAAGGGCGGGACTTCTAGAGAGAACGGCCAATCAGAAGCTGCAGACACTCGCCTGTTCCAGATAAGAGCCAATCCAGCAGGAAACACCAGAACTGTGGAGGTGAGGCGAGAACTGGAGCCCAGTGAAGACGTTTTAGTCCAGAATTCAAAGTTCCTTTGGTTCAAAGAACGTCCCAGACTGCTGGTTGATGACTTTGAGTCTGAGGACTCTAAGGGCTCAGACTTGGAGTCCAGAACTTTAGTTTTAGCACAGGAACATTTTGGTCCAAAAGGTTTTGGTTCAGATCTTCACGCCTTGCGACTGTCACGTCGTCTGAACCTGCATTGGTTAGTCCAGGTGGAGCCTGACTCCTCTGCTCTTGTCAGGTGGAGCCGTCCTCCTCCCGTCTGAACTCCAACGATGTTTTCCTGCTGGTTTTCCCCTCTGGATCCTGGATGTGGAAAGGCAGTAGAAGCAACCCGGACGAACTGAAGGGAGCCGAACAGCTGGCTGAGATCCTGCATGTGACCCCCACCCTTCTGGACGAGGGGGAGGAGCAAGGTGGGGAGGACAGGTGAAATATTTACCAATGTGCACATACTAGAACCATAAACTGACCACCTGCGGTTACAGGTGGATTCTGGGATACGCTGGGGGGGCAGCAGGACTACTGTCGGTCTGCTCGGCTGAAGAACAAGATGGACGCTCATCCCCCCCGGCTGTTTGCCTGCTCCAACAAGACTGGAAATTTCAAGGTCGGTCAGCTCGTCACATGATTGGTTCTCCAGCAGCAAGGCCAACGTCACATCATTGTTTACTACAAAGTTCTAGCAAAGCCAGTTTCATGTTTACAAGATGAATCGGTCAACAATCAGCTCGATAGTTTCAGCTTCAGGTGGAAACTGAAACTTCTAAATCCAGAGACGCCTGCAGGCTCGACTTTATTATATCCTTTCAATTCAGTTTTAATTACACAAAATCACAACAATGTCGCCTAAACACACTTTAGACTGTAAAGACAACACAACAGAAAAGCAGAGGGCCGGCCGTCTGCTGGCTGGGGGAGGAGTGCGGGACAAAGACGCGCCATGTTGGCGTGTTGACCTCAGACCAGGCTCGCCGCTAAACAAATCTTCACAGGTGAATCTGTGTTTCAGGTAGATGAAGTTCCAGGTGAGCTGACGCAGGATGATCTCGCTCCTGATGATGTCATGATCTTGGATACCTGGGACCAGGTGGGCGTCTCCTTCTGTTCATACAGTTAAAGATGTCTGCATCTCTTCGGTGTCCTCACGTCCTGTCCTGCTGCAGGTGTTCGTTTGGATTGGAAACGAAGCTCAGGAGGAGGAGAAGACGCGGGCGGTGACATCAGGTGAGACCGACGGGAGGCTGAAGTGGGCGTTACCTGGCCGTGTGTCCTCTGCGCTGAACTCGTCTAATATCTCGAAGGATCGGTTCAGTTGTCATTTAAAGTCTAAACTCGTAACTTTTGAGGCGTTTGAAATAAAACCTTTTTTTTCCCTGCAGCTGAGCGCTACATTGAGACTGACCCAGCCAATCGTGACCCTCGAACCCCCATCGTGACGGTGAAGCAGGGATTCGAACCGCCGACCTTCACCGGCTGGTTTCTGGGCTGGGAGTTCGAATACTGGTCCATTAGCCCACTCCAGCGCTATCTCCAGGCCCTGTGACCTCACTTCCTGTTTACCTTTGAGCTGTCTGCATGAATAAAAGCTTCTTATCGACATGCACGTCTGTGTGTGATGAGCAGGTAGACGGTGTATTAGTTTATTGGAGCGTCTCTATAAGTACCAACGTGGATAAATAACAATAAGGAAACATGAACACGGAGACAGAAGCCACAGTGAGCACAGCAGAGACAGTCAGTCGTGTGCACGTGTTCACAAACTATTCATCACAATTTAAAGTTTGGACCGCTTTACAATAAAATCTGGTGTTTACATTAAAATCAGAATTCTCTGAAACAACAAACTAGCATCTCTAACTCTCCCACACCTCGCCCATGTGACCAAAATATTCAAAGCTACGGCAGCCCTGAGGGGCCAACACAATCACTTGGAGTTGTGGTGCTGCTTCTAGTCTTTGTGCTAAGCTAGGCTAACCGGGATGAGGAAGTTTCCGTGAGGCAGCTCGGACACAAAGGTCGGACTGTTCCTTTAAAATACAATCGAAAGTCAAAGCGTCTAAAACAAATGTTCCTCCAGCCTGGAGCCGCGTACAGGTGGGGTTGCTTCATGTCGTGTAAAGTCAAATGTCCATTTTGGTTTCGGGAACGTTTTTCTGATTCGTAACAGGAAGTACCAAAACGTAAATGGGATATGATGTCATACTCTAACTAGTTCAAAGAGAAAACGTGCAAAACAAAAACAGGAAATGAGTTGGATTAAGGTCAGAGGTTCATTTGTAAAAGTCTATGGGTTAGCCCCGCCTCATAAGGCTAAGCACCTCCCTCTCCTTGCAGTGCAGCCAGTTAGAGCTCAGCAGTTGCCAGAGTTGCGGAACTCTCCGTTCTCGGTGATCTGCAGCGATGACGTGTTGCTCGGAGACAGGCCGTTCCTCTGTGATGTCACGGCATAACGCTCCTTCAGCTGAGTTAGAGCCGCCATCAGACGAGTGTTTGCTGCGTCAAGACTCGCAATCCTCTTCTCCTGAGAGTCAGACAGGTGAGACGGGCAGGTGAGAGTAAGCTCAGAACAAACATGTCCACCTGATCTTTAGTCAGCTGTCACAGGGAGGCGGGATTTTACATTTGTTCCTGTTTGTGCTGCTAATACGCTTTAAATATGAAGAACATTAAATATTTTTCACTAACATATTTCACCTAATTATGATGTCGTACATAAAATGTTTTTACAGACATGCATCAAAACTCAGCTATGCTAGCTACCGTTAGCTTCATTCCGGGATGGAGAATAGCTCGAGACGTCTTTTAAGACGCCATAATGACGCTGGAGTAGCTTATGAGCACTTCCACCTGCTTCCACCATCACTGGGCAAAATATGGTCACTTCTACAGTCGTAAACTCTGAGGCTTCAAATACAGATTTCAGGTGATGGAGACGTACCTGTGCCTCTATAATCTTCTGCTTCGAGTCAACCACAGCCTGCATGTCAGAGTGATCCTTCTTTAACTCCTCCTCCACCGCCATCAACCTGCAGGTGATCAGACAGACAGACAGGTGATCAGACAGAGAGACAAACAGAGAGACAGGAAGAGAGACAGACGGGCAGATGGAGAGACAAACAGACTTGAAAGACAGAGAGACAAAGAGACAGGAATAGAGACAAACAGACACACACACACATGGGCAGACAGACAGAGGGACAGAGGGACAGAGAGACAGAGGGACAGACAGAGAGACAGAGGGACAGAGGGACAGGCACCTGACAGGTGTCAGGTGAAGTTGATTATTTCTGACATCTGAATCGGTCGAGCACAGTGGAGCTGGTGCTGCAGTTCACAGTTCAACCTCTAGGTGGCTGCTGAGGAGTCTTTTTCCTTGTTGTCTGTTTGCTAAGGTGAACAAGCACAACCCTCAAGTACTGTTTCTATGGTAACGCACACAGGTGTTCCCACCTGCTGATGATGCTGTTCATCTGCAGGTCTTTGTCGTCCTGCAGTCTCCTTAGCCGACTCTCTGTGTCCTCCAAACGAGCCTGAAACACACGCACACTGCTATTGGTCTTGCTGTGTCATGTGACTGAGCTGCTCTGCAGGTGGGTCACAGACCTGGTACTCCTGCAGCATGCGCTGATTCTGCTGATCCTGGACCATCAGACGTGCTTCACACTCCTCCTGACGCAGTGCAGCAATGCGCAACTTCTCCTGCAGCAACGCAATCTCCTGCTGGTACTGCACACACACACACACCGTCAGAACCAGCAGGACCAGTAGAACCAGTGTTGACCCAGAGCTTTGAGAACCTTACCTTCTCCACGAGGCTGTCATCATGGCGATCATCCTCAGCCTCACCATAGGAGGAGGTGGAGTTCATGTTGAGCAGCCAGGCTGCCGTACGGTCTAACGCGCAGGGAGACGGAGCCTGGACACACAAACACACCTGAACAGGTACCGCCCACGACCTTAGACAGTCCAGGTATGAGGACCGCCTCCTTGCATCTGATCATTAAATCAGGAACGCCTGAACAAAATGACTCCGTGGTACCGTGGTAACAGCCTAGTTACCTTGGCAGCCGGCCGCTGCTTCTCAGGGCTATCTCCTTTGGACGATGACGACATCTGTCTAAGCCGTGACTGGCTGCTGGTTGGCCAATCAGGGCTCGATGACATCATGCTGCCAGAGGTGGGACGTGGGGGGTAGGCGGATCCTGCACCACTGCCGCCGCTGAGCATGCTGGGAGGCGTCCGGCCTCGAGGAGGTCCGGGTGGAGCTGAGGA